GGGAATGCTGAGGCACTGGGGCACGGGCTGGCATCGCGGGTATCCCGGGAATGCTGAGGCACTGGGGCACGGGCTGGCATCGTAGGTATCCCGGGAATGCCGGGGCATCCCAGGGCATCACGGGTATCCCCGGAATGCCGGGGCATCCTGTGGCATTGTGGGTGTCCTGGGAATGCTGGGGCAGTGGGACACGGGCTGGCTGACGTCATCACGGGTATCCCGGGAATGCCAGGGCATTGCGTGGCATCGTGGGTGTCCCAGGAATGCCGAGGCAGTGGGACACGGGCTGGCATTGCAGCTGTCCTGGGAATGTTGGGACAGTGGGATCACCTTGGGATGGTGGGATCACTGTATGCGATGGTGGCGTCACTCCTTGGAATGATGGGATCATTCCATGGGATGGCAGGAAAACATCTTGGAATGGCGGGGTCACTCCTTGGAATTGGGGGGTTACTCCTTGGAATGGCAGGATCATTCCTTGGGATGGTGGGAAAGGTCCTTGGAATGGCAGGTTCACTCCATGGGATGGTGGGATCACTCCATGGGATGGTGGGATCACTCCATGGGATGGTGGGAAAACTTGGAATGGTGGGATCACTCCTTGGGATGGTGGGAAAACCACTTGGAATGGGAGAATCTCTCCTTGGGATGGCGGGATCACTCCTTGGAATTGGGGGATCACACCATGGAATTGGGGAGGTCACCCATTGGAATGGGGGGGATCACTCCTTGGAATGATGGGAAAAAACCTTGGAATTATGGGACATGACTCATTAGAATGGCAGGAAAACTTCTTGGAATGGCGGGATCCCTCCTTGGGATGGCAGGAAAACTTGGAATGGTGGGGTCGCTCCTTGAAATGGGGGGATCACTCCACTGGATAGTGGAAAAACTTCTTGGAATGGTGGGATCACTCCATGGAGTGGCAGGATCACTCCCTGGGATGGAGGGATCGCTCCTTAGAATTGGGGGATCATTTTTTGGGATGGAGGGGGGATCAGTCCCTGGAATGGAGGGCGTCACTCCTTGGAATTGAGGGATCACTCCATGGAATGGTGGGAAAACCTCTTGGAATGGGGGAATCGCTCCATAGAATGGGGGGATCACTCCATGGATTGGTGGATTGGTGGGATCACTCCTTGGGATGGCAGGAAAACTTCTTGGGATGGAGAAATCACTCCTTGGGATGGGGGATCACTCCTTGGGATGGGGGATCACTAAAGCACAGACAAACGACTTTCCAACTAATTAAAGCTGGAAAGAAGGGTGTTTATTACAACATGGGCACGAGCAGAATATTGGAATTATTTCCCAAAGCCATTCGTGGGCAGTCGCAGACTCCTGCTCCCTGTTTATCCAAAAATGCTTTACATATTCACGCGGTTTTTAAGGACACATAATGCATATTCATTACCTGTATTATAATCAGCTGAATATTCATTAGGGCTGCATAATTGTTCTCCCTTAATTGGGGTCGGTGGGGTTTTGAAATGAGGGATGGGCGTACGGGAGGAAGAAAAATCATCTTCCTCACTGAACTCTTCGCCCATGGCCAGTCGGACCTTTTGGCCTGCTGGTCACAGTCTAAGTCTGTCCTAACTCTTGGATTATTCTTAAAACCAGGATTTTTATGGCTCCTGCCCTTTTACCATGCTCCATCCATCCCCGTCGCTGGGAATTTTATTTTTCCTGATATTTTTGTTACTCTTTAACCAGAGTACGCGATTCCTGCTAGCGACATTTCTGACTTAACTCCTTAATTTATTTAAAACTTGAACTGAAACATGCAGTATTTTACTGTCTTAATTATAGTTCCAGCCAGCTCCTGGACTCATCTGCACTTTTCAATTAGCCTAATTACACTTCCAGCTGGCCCCTGGACTCATCATGCCTTGGAATGGGGGGATCACTTTTCCCACATTTTCCTCCTTTCTTCCTTTTCCATTTTCCCTGTTGTTCTCCCTGCTGTCATCCCAATTTTCCCTATTATTTTCCCTGTTGTTATCCCTGTTTTCCCTATTGTTTTTCCTGTTGTCTTCCCTGTTGTTATCCCAGTTTTCCTTGTTATTTTCCCTGTTGTTATCCTGATTTTCCCTGTTGTTTTCCCTGTTGTTATCCCGATTTTCCCTGTTATTTTCCCTGTTATTTTCCCTGTTGTTTTCCCTGTTGTTATCCCTGTTTTCCCTGTTGTTTTCCCTGCTGTTTTCCCCGTACTTTTCCCTGTTTTCCCTGTTGTTATCTCTGTTGTTATCCCTGTTTACCCTGTTGTTATCCTGGTTTTCCCTGTTGTTTTCCTTGTTCTTTTCTCTGTTCTTTTCTCTGTTCTTTTCCCTGTTTTCCCTGTTCTTTTTCCTGTTGTTATCCCTGTTGTTATCCTGATTTTCCCTGTTGTTATCCCTGTTTTCCTTGGGTTTTCCCCTGTTTTTATCCCTGTTCTTTTCCCTGTTGTAATCCCGATTTTCCCTGTTGTTTTCCCTGTTGTTATTCCTGTTTTCCCTATTGTTTTGTGTGTTTTATCCCAATTTTCCCTATTGTTTTTCCTGTTGTTTTCCCTGTTGTTTTCCCTGTTGTTATCCCGGTTTTCCCTGTTGTTTTCCGGGTTTTCCCTGTTGTTAGCCCCATTCTCTTCTCTGTTCTTTTCTCTGTTTTCCCTGTTCTTTTCCATTTCCCTGTTGTTATCCCAGTTTTCCCTGTTATTTTCCCTGTTCTTTTCCCTGTTTTCCCTATTGTTATCCCAGTTTTCCTTGTTTTTTCCCTGTTGTTATCTCTGTTGTTATCCCTGTTTACCCTGTTGTTATCCTGGTTTTCCCTGTTGTTTTCCTTGTTCTTTTCTCTGTTCTTTTCCCTATTTTCCCTGTTGTTATCCCAGTTTTCCCTGTTTTCCCAGGTGACCTCCTGATCCTGCTGGCCCAGGCCATCGTGTCCATCCAGATGGTGCTGGAGGAGAAATTCATCTTCAGCCACGACGTGCACCCGCTGCGCGCCGTGGGCACCGAAGGTCCGCAATTCCCTTAAATCCCAGAAATCCCAGGAATCCCCAACAGCAGGAATCCCACGGAAATCCCATGGCTCATCCCATGGGGATCTCCTGCAGAAATCTGGGAATTCTCAGATTGGGATTGGGATTGGGGCCCACAGCTGGCTCTCCTGGACCTTCTGCCCCATTCCCAGGGGATTGGGGCTGGATTGGGATTGGGATTGGGGCCCACAGCTGGTGCTCCCAGAGCCTCTGCCCCATTCCCAGGGGACTGGGATGGGATTGGGGCTGGATTGGGATTGGGACTGGGGCCCACAGCTGGCTCTCCTGGACCTTCTGCCCCATTCCCACGGGACTGGGATGATATTGGGATTGGGATAGGGATTGGGACTCAGGCCATAGCCGGCTATCTGGAGACCCATTCCCAGTGGATTGGGATGGGATTTGGTCTGGATTGGGATTGGGATTGGGATTGGGATTGGGATTGGGATTGGGATTGGGATTGGGGCCCACAGCTGGCTCTCCTGGACCTTCTGCCCCATTCCCACGGGACTGGGGCTGGATTGGGATTGGGATTGGGACGGGATTGGGATTGGGATTGGGTTTGGGATTGGGATTGGGATTGCAGCCACAGCCGGCTCTCCTGGAGGCTCTGCCACATTTCCAGGGGATTGGGATGGGATTGGGGCTGGATTGGAATTGGAATTGGATTGGGATTGGGATAGGGATTGGAATTGGAATTGGAATTGGGACTGGGGTCACAGCCAGCTCTCCCGGAGTGTCTGCCCCATTCCCAGGGGATTGGGATGGATTTCGGGCTGGATTGGGATTGGGACTGGGGCCACAGCCATCTCTCCCAGAGCCTGTGCCGCATCCCCCGGGCAATTCCACGGAAATCCCGATTCCCCGCAGGTCTTTTCGGCTTCTCCATCCTGGCGCTGCTGCTGGTGCCGCTGTCCTTCATCCCGGCGGGGCGGCTCTCGGGGAACCCCCGCGGCGTCCTGGAG